CCCCAAAACCCCAAAACCCCAAAACCCCAAAACCCCAAAACCCCAAAACCCCAGTGTTTACATTTCGATGAGATAACATGAATTAGAAATCAGAAAATTATCTGAGAAAAATAGAGAATCACTTCAAAATGGAACAAAACTTAAAGAATTTGTAGGTTTAAATGGTTATTGAAAAATTAAATAACTTATTTAGGGGTACACATATATAATTGACATCTGTGAAATTATCTAAGAAAGGATCAGCTCTTTCATACAATTTGAAGACCGTCTCTTGTTGGTTTATAGAGAAAAGCACCTTTGTAGATAAACTTATTTTAATTTCCTAAGTTTCCATATTTATTATGTCCTCTCAAGTGCTCTGGGATCAATGACCTAAATGGCACATCTAAGAGTCTTTAGAAGCTGTTTGTTTTGTCATATACTTCATCTGCTGAATAGATCTTGTCACTAACGATTCTTGGAGCGTAATGGTTCATTTGGGGATTATTAGAATTGGTTTTTTAATTGCAAATTAATTATAAAATTACACTTTAATTTGATTATAAGTTAAATTTAAAACTAGGAATCACTGATAGAATCCTGAATAAATTAAGATTTTCTTAGTTTGTGAATCACCCAACTAATCTTATTAAAGTCTGAAATTGATATTGAATTACTCATGCCTTCTTGAGACTTTTCAAGCACCCTATACTTATAATAGAAAATAGCGCGGATAAATAATATTAACTAACGAACAATAAAACAATGAAGCTGAATAAAGAGTATTGGGAGAGAAACGATTCAAGGAATGAATGGGGGGATGATGATTCCTAAGATTCTCCATCTGATAGAATAAAAAAACAACAGTCTGAAGAGCAAAAGATGAACTAATAAAAATAAAGCTCATAGAATGAACCCACTATAGAAGTCCAATAAAATATTGATAGTAGTAATAAAAGTAATAAAGATGAGTAAATCATAAAGAAATGATAGAATGTTTTGCTTAAAGTGCTTATATTAGCTAAGATTTAAATATGGATATATTGATTTTTTCTATGACGAATACTGATTGGTTAATGCTAACTGCTTGTGGGGTTTTGGGGTTTTGGGG